CTTGTCAAGCCGGTGGAGACTTAGGTTATTTCTGTTTCTTGGCTACAGTAAATGGTGCTACAGTAAACGTGAGAGTTCCAGTGTCTCTGACATGTTGATTTCATTTCTTTTGGATATGTATCTGGTAGAGAGATCACTGGATCATATGGTCGTCCCATTTTTAATTTTTTGAGAAACCTCCACATTTTTTTCTCATAACTTAATATTTTCACTTTACAGTGGATTTATCAGAATGTAACCCTGTGTTGTGTTATATAAAAATATTATCAAAGTTAACTTTACCCATTTCCTTTTATTAAAGGATAATTTAAAATTACCTGTGTGCCTACATTACATTGCTCTGGACAGTACTGTACTAATCTGTGATTTCCCTCCATCCCTTCTGCCCCACTCCACTTAGTTTTTGCTCCTGTTTTTCTTCTTTGCTCCAGGCTCTCACAGTCTGGTTGCCAGACAAATGAGGTTATCTCTGCTCAAGGCACCCCAGGCTCATAGAAAAACTTGCCTTTGAGCAGCTTGTGTCATCTCCTTGACTGACTTTTAGAGTTGGCAGCATGTGTGTCTGTGTCGCCTCTTGGTCCTACACTCTTTGAGGGTGTGGTTCTGTCACACTTACCTGGAGCCCTCCCAGGGGGTCGTGAATGGAGAGGGCCTGCTCTGTTTTCTGGAATTCCCCCGTAGCCCCTCAACTACTGTGCTCACACCTGCGTAGCTGATGCAGTGGGTGGATTCCAGGAAAGCTTCTCTTGACTGTCTTTGCTTTCAGCACCTTCACTAAGCACCTGTTTCTCCTTGCTCCCTTGGGTCCCATATGTTCACACATCTTAGTGTAAGGCTACATTATTTCAGACCTGTGAGTGAACTCATGAGACAGCAGTTTCTACAGCCCTCAGTTTCTGTGTTTGGAGAGCTCTTCTGTTGTCTTCTGAGAATGCACCAGATACTTAAATGTCCTCTGCCTCCTCTGCTCAATTCTTTAACCCCTCAGAGGCTCCAGGCATGGGGCCTCTGACTCCCCACACCTTATTTTGAAGGGGCTTGAATGTTTATTTCTTTGTTAAATGTAGCACTTTGACCTTGGGCCCTTTCTTGGAGCTTGTTTTACTGTGCTCCTTATGAAGTGTTATAAAAGTTTCTTTGGTTTTAATTTGCCTTTTTTTCCTCAAAGACTGGACCCTAAAACAACAACGCATAAACAGAATAGAGCCAGTAAGGGTTGTGGTTGGCTTCTTAGGGGTGTGTTAGGCTGAGATCCTGGTGGTGGGATCCTGCCAAGGTCATTTGCACCCTCAGCTGGTTGGCTGGACTTGGCCTGGATGCCTACTGAGCCCCCGGCCAAGGATTCCCTCCCCCTGCCTGTGCTCACTGCAGGCCCACTGCCTGTGGGAGTGGGAGACAGTGGAATGCAAAGAGGAGCTAGAGGATTTTCCCTGTAAAGTTAACTGCTTGGTCTTTCTCTCCTTTAAAAAGTATGTAGCATTGTCAAGTCACATGTTTTATTGCCTTTCTGATTATGATCAGAGCTTGAGATTCTCTCTGCAGACTTGGAGTTGTCAGAGAATGACCTTGCTGTGCAGATTGTCAGCATCTGCCCAGGAGAGTGGCTTCTGGCAGCTCCTGGATGATTTTGTTGGCTATGTGGGTTTTGCTCATCCTTCTGTTAACCCAAGGCTCACTGAGAGGGTCCACCTCACATCTGCCTTCAGCTGAACTTTTCCATGCTGCTCTTTGGGGAAGAGGATCTGAAAATGACCTTGCCTCCTTTACTTATGTTTTGATCCTTTCTTCTAAGCTCTTTATTTTCTTCCTTGAAACCGGGGAGGCATCTCATGATGCTGAACCTGCCATAATTCAGTTTATTTTATGTGACCTTCTGGAATAAGCATAACATTTTTTTGTTGTTGTTTTGAGTTTATTTTACCATACTAGGATTGCTGTACTGCTGACGTAATCTAAAGGGACTCTCGACCTTTGGCCTACCTCTGGTCTGTTAAACTCAGCTCCACTTGTAATGCTAACCTTCTAAGAACCTTCAGTGGCTCCTTTCCCTTTGAATGTCTACAAAATGTTTTCATCACTGTTCAAGTTTTTAACTTGGGGGGCCAAATTTTCCTTATTAATGATCTCAGCTAAACTGGGCTACGTGGTATTCTCTGCGTTTGACCTACACCTCCCTACTTCAGTGCATTTACTTCAGATTGCCGCTTCCTTTCCTGATGAAATGGAGCCGCATCTGAGGTGCCATTTCCTCCCTAGCCACCCAGATCTCCCACACACAAGATGTATTGTCTCCTGCTCTTGACTTCCTCCCTTGAAGCACGAGTCACACTCTTTGATGTGAATTGCAATAAATCTTCAGGAGAATTTTTTGAAAGAGTGTGGAAGAAGCCAGTGTAGTGCCTTTGGAGAGTGTAGCTGAGTGGCTAAAACATGGGAGAGAGGCTTTTCACTTTGCATCCTTCCTTTTGATTTTTTTTTTTTAACCATGTATGTACATTTCCCATGAGGTTTTTCGGGTAAAAGTATTTAAGTAAAACCCAATCCTTAAAACATTACAAGACAGTATTGTAGAGTATGCTTATAACCTCCAAGGAGGGAATAGTATTCTTAAACCAAACCAAAAACCTAGACACAGTGAAGAAAACGATTTTTTAAATGTATGCATATGTTTGTCATACCCCTATTTGGCTACAAGTACCTGAGGTACTTATCTTTTTATCCTTCTTCAGAGCTGTAACACCATGACCCCATACAGAGTAATCAATAAATATCAGTTAAAGCAAAACTAAATTGAATTACAAGTTGTTTCTTTGTAGACCTCACTTTCCTCACTTCTAAAATGAATGCTAGGTTACCTCTGGGCTGTAACTCTAAGGTTCTGTGGATTTGTGGGTTTTACAGGCAGAAATATGCAGCAGAGTAGGAGTGGTCTTAGAATCAGCAGCTCTTCCTTCCCAAGAAGAGACCGGACCCAGACCGCCCCCGCAGCACACTGGCCCAGTGTGCCACTTCTGCCTGCTTTCAGGAGCTACCCTGGAGTGCCTGGCATTAGTTATGCCGGGGAAATGAAGCCATTAGACACAGATTGAGGGGAGTTGAGGTTTGTGACAGGCTTGCTGCCCTGAACAAAAGAGGAAACGTGAAGGTGTAAAGCAGTTTGCTGGCCAGCTCTCTGAACTGCTTGGCCACAGCCTTGAGAGCACCAGGAGTGTTTGCCCCTGCTTGCCTCCAGTGTGGGACTCGGAGCCAAGTGGCCAGATTGGAACTGTGTCTTTCAGGAGGACTGGGGTAAGGTGAGGGGGCTTATTTGGGCTCATCATCTAGTTTTAGAGAAACTGCTAGACTTCTCTTTTGGGTCCCTTGGCACCCAGCTTGGTTGTTAAAAGCTTTTTGTTCTTTGAGACACGATCTGGCTGTGCAATTTGAGCTTGCCTTGAACTCATGATCCTCCTGCCTCAGGCTCCCAAGTGGTGAGATTACAGGCATGTGTCACCACATCCGGCTTTATTAACAGTTTTTGTCAAATGGTAGGGCTAGGGGTGTAGCTCAGTGGCAGAACATGTACCTAGCATGTGCGATGCCCTGGCTTTCATCCCCACCACCATCAAATGAATAAATAAATTGAAATGAAAATGGCGTCGTCTCCCCATCTTCAGTGATATGCAGCATGAGGGCAGGGTGCCTTTCTGCTGGCCTAGTATCCACCCCAGCCAGCTTTATAGCATTCTTGAGTGTAGGGAGGTGGATGCTGGAGAGAGTCCTTCAGGACACATCTGACCAAGGGCAGTCAGTGGAGCTTGCAGATGGGAGTGAGCCAGTGCCTTATCTTGGACAGCCAGGCACTATAGCATGACTACCAGTCGCTCCAGGCCTGTTAGAGGGAGTAAGAGAAAATGACCGTTTTTGATTCTCATACAGATGTCTTTGTGATACTCAGGGTGGTGAATAGGATATGATCAGCAAAATTGAATTTTCTTTGGAAAACTTGGACTATCTTACATTTGGAAAGTGTTGGGAAAGTTGAAGTTCTTGGGAACCTGCTCACCCTGCCTTCCCCTACAGCCCCACCAAACCCAGTCCCTGTTTGCCACATCCCCAGCTGACCAGTCTGAAGAGGTGTAGGGGATATAGCCTTGACCCATAACATCCTTTATAAACCCCTCAGCTCACAGAATGGGAGTGGCACCTGCTGATGGATAGAATCCAGGTCCCAGGTGAGCCTTCTTCCGCTCGTAAGCTTGGCTAAGTCACTGCTTTTGTAGGCCTCGGTGTCCTTGACTTCAAAGGGGAGAAATGATAACTATCTCAGAGTTGTAGGGACAAATAAATAAGACAAGGGGTGAAGGTGCTTTTAAAACCAGATCATCCTGCCTGGGTGGGTGAAAAATGTGGGACTTACTATGAGATAGAGACAAGTGATGTCACTGCCAGTCAGAGAATGAAAGGCACCCAGGGACTTGGGAAGCCTCCCAGAAATCCACTCTGAGGCTGAGAACACACATTTTTATTTTACTATGGAATTCCTTCTGGCATTGATATCTGAAACGAGCCTAATATTTGCCCCTCACTGGCTGGCAGTATTTTATCTCCTTTTACTCTGACTTACTGTGCTAGGAGTTTTTTTAGAGTCATGTCACAGTTGCAGTAGGTTCAAGACATTGTCAGAGAGGACTGGGATTTAGCTCATTGGCCCCACGCCTGCCTTGCAAGCGCAAGGTCCTGAGTCTGATCCCCAGTACCACCACCACCGAAAAAAAAAGACATTGTCAGAGTTGCCTGTTCAATATGGAGGCAGCTCTCCTGAGATATGGTCAGGGAAGGGGTAGGAAATGGTGTGAGTGACCAGACTTCCCTTTCTATCAGTGACAGCCTGAATTCCAGGCTTTGTCTGCTCTAAATGTTGGCTCTTTGCCCTTCACACCAGGTCTTTCAGAACAGCGTTGTCAAGTGGAAACACTGAAAGTTTCACCATGGTACCACCACCCTCTCTGTCTTTGCAGTGTGTCCCCTGCCCCCGGAGCCAGAAAATGGTGGCTACATCTGCCACCCCCGACCCTGCAGAGACCCCCTGACAGCAGGCAGTGTCATTGAATACCTGTGTGCAGAAGGCTACATGTTGAAGGGGGACTACAAATACCTGACGTGTAAGAATGGCGAGTGGAAGCCAGCCATGGAGATCAGCTGCCATCTCAATGAGGGTCAGTCTGCAAATCAGAAGGAGTTGCTCTGGGATTCTGCTTTCTGTCACCTCCTGGGAAGTGGTGCGTGCTTCCTGCCGAGTACCTTTGGCTGTGCTGTGGCATAGCCAGCTTGCCCTGCAGCCTCCCTTCCTTTAGGATTTTGTGTCTTTGTGGAAGACATTGAGGTTGGTGGTGTGTGTCCCATTGTATTCCACTGAGGTACTGAGGGCCTCCCATATCTTCACTGAGGCATCTGCTATGCTGTGTCAAGTCCCTTTGATGTTTAGGATCTCCTTGGCCTAGCCAGTGCTCGTGACCTTTGACTGTGTTCTGCTACTACAATGAACATAATGCTGACACCTTCCCTAGTGTCTCTTTCATTCCATTTTTCCTTGAATGGAAATGGATTGTTTTGTTATGGGGCTACAGGCCAGCTGGACAGAAGCCCCCTCTTCCCTCCTGTTTCCTCCTGTCTTACATGACAAGAAAATCCAGCTGTCTGAAGGGAAGTGTGTGTCATCTGGTCATCTGACACCCCAGAAAAGAGAACCAACCTGAGGTCTACAACCATAGCTTCAGGACTAGGGTGGGCTTATTACAGCCCAGTACTTCTAAATTATCCCACCACATGAGGAAAAACATGGGTGGACTCGTGGTGGAATGATGTGTTCATTTTAGTGAACATTAAGTTCAGCAGCCTGTTACTGGGGGTGGGATCAGAGTGGTTTATAGAGATAAGATCTCCAGAGTTAATGAGTTAGATCTAGTTAGATGGACCTCAAAGGCTGGAGTTGAGGGGAATTTTTTATTCAGGAAACAGGAGAGGGAAGTGGTCCCTTTCCCAGAGCACTGTGTGTACATATGCAGCTCTACGCTGCTTTCCCGAAGAGGCCCTGCTGTAGGATGCCTCTGTGTGGCACCAGGCAGGGGGCATTTGACTGCGTCAGCTGTGGGGCCTGTGTTTTATGTCTGGACATCAAATTCTTCTGATGGAGGCTTGTTTCCATAGACAAAGAAACCCACACATCACTTGGAGTCCCCACGCTGTCCATTGTGGCTTCCACTGCCAGCTCCGTGGCACTCATCCTCCTCCTTGTGGTGCTGTTTGTGCTGTTGCAGCCAAAGCTGAAGTCTTTCCATCACAGCAGGTAAGCCTGGAGCCATGCTGCTTTGGGGCAGGCAGCAGGCATTACTATGGGGCTCGCCTCTGCCTGGCTGGGGGAAGTTGGAGGCCTACAGCTTCCTCTGTCTGTGTGTCCTAGGGAAAGGGCGGGGGAGGGCCCTGGATGTGTGTAGTACAATGCTCGTTGCTTTGCATACATTAGTAGAGCTGACATTTGAACCCAGATCTGTTCAGCTGCAAAGCCCTGTCATTTCCTCTCATCAGTGCTTCTTGGATTATGGTTCCAGCAGCATCAGCATCCCTGGGAATTGTTAGGAATGCATATTTCCAGGCCAGAGTGCATATCATCTGAAGCTGTAGGGCTGAGGCCCAGTAATGGGGCTCACAAGCACCTTCAGGTGATGCCAGTACACATACATGGATGCACGGCGGGCAAAAAAAACCACCCCAAATTCTGTAAAATGCTCCAGGTTTGGAACTTATAGACAAGGACCAGCCTCAATTTAATCTATACTAGTGATGGTGAACCTTTTAGAGCTTTCAATGATAATAAAACAGCTGGTTGTGGTACACGTGCCATAGGTTCGCCACGCTGATCTATAGTATGTGAGATTTGTATTTTTTCCTTTTGTTTTGTTTTGTTTTGTTTGAAGGGATGGAGGTGCAGTTATATTTAAAGGTTGTTAATAGAATAGAGAAAATTTGATGGGGTTCATTTACTTGAAAGAACTAGCTCTTCCATATAAAGTCAGACTGATGTAATCTGTATTTCATCTAGGTTAAGGAGTTTCATTTCCCCTGTAGGTAACTAGTAAGTCTGTTAAAAGTAACCACCTGATTCTTTTTTGCCTGACTTGAGTAGAACGGAGATTGGTTTTCATTATAGATCCCACTTAAATTTTGTACCATGTATATCTATTACTTTTTATTTTTATTTTTTTGGTACCAGGGATCGAACTCGGGTCCTTGTGCTTGCGCAGCAGGAGGCAAAACCACTGAGCTAAATCCCTGGCCCCTCTATTACTTTTTAAACAACAACACAGATTGTTTTTGAATAACAAAAAGTAAGCACATGCGAGTGTATACACTGCTTTCTCTGCTACCTTGTCAAAGTTTCTTTTCCTTCCCAAAACCTCTGAGCACTTCTTAAGAGTACCATTCTCTCATCCTCACAGTATGTACATTATTTGTATCAGGTAGCCCATATTTTTATCTCTAAGTATAGGTAAGGAACTTGAAAGATTTTTTTTTTTTTGAGACAGGGTCTCATTATGTAGTCCAGGCTGGGTTTCAACTTGCAGCAATCCTCCTGCCTCAGCCTTCTGAGTGCTGGGATTACAGACATGCACCACTATGCCCAGCAAGAGCTATTAACAGTAGCTGACCAGCAGTAATGTGGTCTGGCAGTAGACTTGTATGTGCCTTGGGGTGATGAGCCAAAAGAACACAGCATCACCTGTGTAGTATTCTTGGCAAATATTGACTTGAATCCAATCCTGAGGAAACAGTTAAATGCATCCAGATTGTGGGGCATCCCACAGCTGGCCTGGAGTCTTCTAAAAATGCCAGTGTCATAAAAGAAAAACTTTAGTGGACTGTTTCAGATGAACAGAGGTAAAAGGGACCAGACAGCTAAATGCATTGCATGACCCTTTATTGGATCCTGGATGAAAACAAAGACTGCAGATACATTTTGGGGATGGTTTTGGAAACTTGTATTATACAATGGATTGTAATGTTACATTTCCGGGGTGTAAGGAGGCTGGGGTTATATAGGAGTGGAAGTGCTGAGGGACATCTGTATAGTATCTTAACCTTACTTTCTTTCACATGGTTCATGAGGAAAGTTGTGTGTATGTGTGTAACAGAAATGATCCTCAAAAGGTATCTGTGGGAATAAACCTTACATAAGGAGTAAAAGAAGCAGAGATGTGTACTGTGTCAACACACACCCGTTTATTATGTATCTCATTCATATATGTAGATCAGAAATGTGCAGGACTAAACTGAAGCACTAAAGGATTCATGTTGAGGTAGTAAACTGTTAGAATGTGAATCAAAAGGAGTCGTTTCTGTGTAGGTGATAGTGAGGGGCGGGAGTGACGGGACAGGCTCAGGGTGGTGTCAGTGTGTAGCAGCGTGAGATTCCTGACCTGGTTAGAAGTCTTACACCAGTGTCACTTGGAGCAAACCAGTGAGCTGTATGTTGATTGTCTATATGTTCTTGACTGTACTTGTGTAATAATTGACGTAGTTTTTTTGGTACCGGGGATCAAACTCGGGACCTTGCGCTTGCAAGCAGGCAGCAGAACCACTGAGCTAAATCCCCGGCCCTCATGTAGTTTTTTTTTAAGTTTATGAAATTTTAAGCAAAGTGATTGAGTCAGAAGAACAAATGTTGTTCATGTGACTTCCAGTCCAGAATCCTATTTTGGGACCATAATGTGCTTGCCTCTCTCTTGCTCCTTTGTCTAACAGCTCCGTGGAGACACAATTCATATGGCTCACATAGTTCCCATTGGAAGTGTACAGTGAAGTGGTTTTTAGCATATTCGTGGTGAATGCCACCACCTCTTGTTTTCTTACCCTAGCTGAGCTGAATGGATGGTTCCATTTCTAGGTCTCTAGGCTCTTAGCTTTGGCACAGAAGCCCAGTGCCTGTGTACCCACAAGTTAAGGGCATAGTCTCTGGAAGCAGCTGGAACTGGATTCAAGTCCTAGGTCTTGCCCCTCACCAGCTCTGTGACTGTGGCAATTACTTGACTTCTGGGCATCTACATTCTTACTGAATCCTTATCTGAAAGGAGCCAGGTGAGGATTCAGTGTGGCAAAGTGTTTAAAGCGCTTAGTGCTGGGCCTGGCACACAGTTAAATGCTCAAAATGATGGCTTTTAGCTTCGGGTAGTGGCACATGCCTGTAATCCCAGCATCCTGGGAGGCCTAGGCTGGAGGGTCACACGTTTGAACCCAATTTGGACAATTGAGCAACTTAGACCTTTTCTCAAAATAAATAATGAAAAAGAGGCTGGGATGTGTGAAGGCCCTGGGGTCAACCTCAGTCCAAGAGGGAGAGAAGAAAAGGTGGCTTTTGTTGGTATGATGGTATTTATTTATTTATCTGTGTGCTCATTCTGATTGTCTCTTTGTCTTTTTTTCCCATCCAGGCGTGACCAGGGGGTATCTGGGGACCAGGTCTCCATCATGGTAGATGGGGTGCAGGTTGCACTCCCTTCATATGAGGAAGCTGTGTATGGCAGTTCCGGGCACTCCATGCCACCCGCAGACCCCAGAGTGCCCATCGTGCTGTCAGAAGGAGCTGGGCCCAGTGGGAGGAGCCTGCTAAGGGAGCAGCAGAGCCAGGGGGCCTGCTCCTCTTCAGGTGGTGAGGAGGAGGCCCCCGGCCAGTCAGGACTGTGTGAAGCCTGGGGCTCCAGGGCTTCAGAGACTGTGATGGTGCATCAGGCAGCCACCTCTTCCTGGGTGGCTGGCTCAGGGGGCAGCGGGCCAGCACACAAAGAAGCCACAGATTCAGAGAACAGCGACATACAAAGCCTTTTATCCCTCACATCAGAGGAATACACAGATGGTAAGTGGTCTGTGATGAACAGGATTGTTAGCTGTGTGGAGTCCTTGCCGGGAGTGAGGAAGGATGGTGGGTCTTTCTAATAATTGGTGTGCTTTTGGCAAAGAAAGATATTACCCAGGATATTAGCCTACCAAACAGTTTCACCTTCAGAGCACCAGGTGGGGCCTTGGGCTCTCAATAGAGAGACTTTTCACTGTGAATACTGAGAGTTTGGAGTCTTGGACACTATTCATGGTCACAGGACAGTGCTAAGTAAAAGATGGACAGTTGAGTGGCGGTTGGGCTATCCTATACTTACAAATTTTATGTTCCTGAAAGGTCAGGAATGACAAGGAGACCTGGATTGTATTACAGAGAGAACAGGAGCTGTCTCTTCTTCGGCGCAGAGCAGCTACATCATTGCAAGCAGGGCTCTGCCAAGTACGACACTCCTTAGTTTCTGTGTACTATCTCAGCTCATCCTCACAGTGATCTTGAATGGTAGCTATTTGTTACTGTCCCTGTTTAGAAAAACTGAGGCCCAAAGAGGACAAATCATTGCCCACTGGTAAATGATTGAGCTGGGATTTGAAGTGATGACTCTGGTTTCAAAACCTTCAGTGCTGTCCTGCCTCCCAGGAGACTCCAGTTCATGTGTTGTGAACTGGCCATAGAATGACATTTCTGCCTCCTGACATTTCTGTCTTTGTGGGAGCCTGGAGAGTTTAATCTGGCTTGGCTCTGTCACTTTAAAAAATATCTTCAAGTGGAATCTCAGTGCAGTTCAGGACACAGACTAAATCTAGAAGCTTCCCTTTTGACAGTAATGCCTTCTGCACTTAGAGCCTCCCTAAAAGCCTCAGAAGGAACTTCTGCCTCCTGGGTATGCTGGGTGCACAGTGAATGTCTAAAAGTTGGAAATTCGTAAATACAGATCATGATTTGCCCTCTTTTTTCTCAGTTGGCTAGAGAGATGGCAGGGGACCACTGATTAGTTGCCTCAGGTTGGGTGTGGAAACCAGTGACCCCTGGACTGTTAGTGCCATGTGTTTTAAGATACGTCTAGGAGCAAATAGTAGCCCTCATATTCTGTAAGGGGCTAGGAATGTGCCCTGCTCTTCCTGGGCTGCCTTGCTTTGTTCCTTGGAATGACCAAGCATCTTTTACAGCCCAGCCTGTGTTGGAGCTGAAGGAGGTTTCAGGAGTGACGCGAAGAGAAAGGAAGGGTGCTATCTGCTGCACGGACTGTCAGTTGGAAATGATGATGGGACCCATAGTAGAGAAATCCTGTAGTGGAAGCAGGAATTGTAGAGTTCACATTGAAATAAGGGGCTCAGAAAGCAATACAGGTGATTTAGTGAGTTTGTTGCAGGCCATGCCTGAGCTTACTGGGACTTGAGAGGAAGTCAGGAACATGTGTCTAACCCTACCTCCACCCCCCACTGACATATGAGAAGACTAAAACCCAGAGAACGGAAGTGATTCATCCATTGTCACACAGCTGGCAGATGGCTTTGAGGAGAAGGTGGGACTTAAACAAGGCTTTGTGGCCTCATTCGGGAGTGGTTAGGAGATAAATGGAAGTGGCTAGACCAGCAGAGTAAAAAGAGAGAGGGTTTGTGCTGGTGGGGCCAGAAAAGGTTTGAATACCAGGCTGAGTGTTCAGATCTTAGCACACAGAGGGGAGAGAGCTAGAAAGGCCTAAAAGGGGGCAGGGGATTTTTGACTCCCTAAACATGTAGGTGTGGGCATTTTGTTTTTCTACACTAGGGCCTATTGCAGGGTCAAGAGTGCTGTGGGGAGGCCCCTCTGGGTAACCGCTGTGCTTGCCCTCCTGTCTTCCCACAGATATCCCGCTGCTGAAAGAAGCCTGAGGGCTGCCATGGGCCTCTCTTCTCTGCGAGGGTCTTCTCCGCCCTTCTTCCCACTCCCTGTGGGTTTGAGCACCCTGTACTCCAGCTACCCCACCCAGATATCTGAGCTGCCACCTGTGTATCAGTGTCTCTGAGGGCCTGCAGGCCACCTCACTGGAAACTCAAGGAAGATTCCCGCCATCTGCCTGGACAGCTGGAGCAACTGGCTCTTTGCCTGGCCCAGCCTTCCCATCTGTTGGGATGTATTTGAATGTGCCGGATCGAACTCTCTCTTCCTTTCCCCGAGCCTCTCAGTCCCTTCCAGCCAGCTCACTGGTGGCAGCCCTACAGCCCATGTTCGGCTGAGCACCGCTGTGTTTACTTGTGCCTTCCCTCAGCCCATCCAGTTCCCTGCAGTGCAGGTGTGCAGCTGTCCACAGCCTTGGTGGTTCCTGCCCCTGCATGCAGAGGCTGGGCCTGCAGCTGGCACCACCTCCCCTCACAGGAGCAGAGTCAAGAGTGAGCCTCTGAGGCACAAGTAGCTTTCATTGGGGCAGGCTGTGGGTCCCTGGGTTGACACTGGTGGCACATTTCCTTGGCTGAGAATGGAGAATTTGGAAAATCATCCCAAAGCCATCCTAGCATCTGGCTGTTCAGCTCAGGTGCAGGCTCCTGGCCCTGGTGAGAGTTTCCAAGAAGCATCCAGAAGATCCTGAGGGAGGGAAAGAAGGTGGCTGGTAATGATTGTCTTCCTAATATGCAAACTCTCACTTCTTGCTTCCAGCATTGCGCCTTGACTTTGGTCTTTTCTGTTCCCTGGATAAAGGGAGTTGCATGCTGCCTCCTGGGCTTCAGCCCAGGCAGCTCTGGCTTCCCTGCTGCCCACAGAGCCTGAGGCACATCATCCCAGGAGTTTCTAAAATGCCATCCAACACTCATCTGGTCACTGGCACTCTGGGCAAGTTGCCACTTTCTGGGCTTGTGGTGACGGAGAGGAGGCCAAGAGGCACAGACCAAGTCCCTGGGCAGCTGCAGGCAGCTCCAGCCCGGTCCTGAGGATCCTCCTCACCACGGTCATGTGCCTTAGTAACTGTGCCCAGGAAGTGGCCTGCTGCCTAGTGCACCTCTGCTTTTCCTACTTCTGCCCTTCCCGGTGCCCCTGCACACATCATGGCTGACAAGCCATTCCTGTCTTCCCCGCCCTCTGGGGAAGGAGCTGAGAAATGGTCCACAGTACGCCTTGCCTTACTGGCTGAAGTGGGCAAGCGGGTGCCCAGCAGCCTGGCTCCCAGGCTCCTTTAGACTGAAGCCTAGGTGTGGACACTGGAGGGGAGCTGTAGTGATGACTCGGCACTGGGCACTTCTCCCAGGGCCCCTCTTGGCCCTGTGGTGAACATAGGAAGGCTGGGCAGACAAGCTCCACCAGGCTGCTACCTTCTTCACATGACAGACGTGGCATTAAGGAATGTTTGCTTTGGCTTTTTTTTTTTTTTCCTGAAACACTGGGGCTGGGAAACCTCGAAGCTGACTCTGCTGCACCTCTGCTCCTCCTCAGCATCTCTGGTGTGGTAAAAATAATAAAAAGCCCTGTTCAGGATCTGACCTAACAGGGTTAGCCCCAGGCGTGGGTGGCCTGAAGATGGGGAAATGGGCTTCTCCCAACCTGCCACCCCTCTGCCTCCACTCTTACAATGCACTTTACTCCCTGGTCATGCCTGGCCTCCTGCTGCCCCTCATCTTCTTTCCTCTCAGGGTAAGGGCAGTGCCTGTTGTGCCTGCTGGCCACTCCCACACATCCCCCACCCAGAAGCCCCATCTGTTGTGCTGAAAGTCCAGGCAAGCAAAGTCAGAGGTAGGGAATGAGTTGGATAAGGTGCCAGAATTGAAAGGCTAAAGCCTGAGGGAGATGAGACACACATCTCAGCAGTTGCTGGCACAGGCCACCTAATAGAGGAGTCCTAAGGCTCCAGCTGCATTAACATGCAGACCCTCTTTGATGCGCAACAGTGCCCTGACTTCCTCCAGAAAGGAAATGTGAGAAGTGGGGAGGCAGGGCTGAAGTCTCACTCTCAAGCTTTTATTTTCCACGCTTTCACCCCCCCCCCCGAATTCTGTTCTAGAATATTTTTTAAATAAAAGAGCCCACCCTTTTCTGTGTAGTTACTCTGAGCTTTTGCCCCCTCAGAGGTTGCACTTTTTATTTCTGGTTTATTGACCTGATACCTCCTTCCATCTCACTGCTCATTAACACTGCTCTGGGCCTCACAAGCCCAGGCCTGCCTGTCAGGAAAGTAAGAAGTTGGAACAAGCGCACCACCCCTCTTGTCTGACTTAGAGGAGGCCCTTTCCGAGGCTCCTGGGTGTACAGGTGCTTGGGGCTCGGCTCACATTGATGCTGATGTCTGAGTTGGCTTCTTTCACAGTTCTCTTTCCCGCAAGGCAATTTCTTCATTTTTGGCCACATGCCGCTCTTCCTGGGGCTTCTGAGTTTTGTCCCTTGCAGAGGGATTGGGGACTCCCCAGCTGCCTTGACGTGAGGCCTGGCTAGAGACGGGGCAGAGGGCGAGTGGCAGGCTGTTAGGAAGGAGCCTGCCCAAAGCCTGCCGCTGGTGGGAAGGAGCTGTAGCCACAGCCCTGCTTGCCTGGGCTCACCTCCAAGGGATGCCTGTCCTGCAGAAAACCTGTGCAGAAGTGGTCAGCACCAAAGGACTTTTTAGAAAGCATTGTTTTCCTTTTTCCTCTTTTTAAAAATTTTTTTTTCTACACTTGAGCTGGCTCAATGCAGGTTTTTTATCCTGGTGACATTCTAGCAACTTCGAAGGGCCAGAATATGGTAAAAGTCACTTAACATGTCCACCTCTCCCATGCCTTAGTTTAGCAGGTCGGCTTTGTCTTTTGCCATTTCTGTATTTTATGTGCTTTGTTTCACTGGGTGTGAACTGTGAAATGGCTGAGTCCTGGCCACTGTGTGAGTTTGTTTGGTTTTATAAGACATTTCAGTGTACATTCTACAAGCACTCCATTTGCAATATTATCTTCCCCATTCATCTTGCCCTCCTCCTCCCATCCCCAGCTTTAAAATTCTGTGGAGAAGCCAGGCAGCAAGACAGACAAAGGTATATTCTTCCTGCTTCGTGAGTAGCCACACACGGATAGATGGCTCCTGGCCCCTTTCTTCCCAAACCACTTGATTACTGCATAACATTGTTGCCTCCATTTGTGGGAACGTTCTTGCATAGAGAATGGAATATGCTGCAAACATTTCTTGATCCTTGCTTCCCCCTCGCCTTTCCCTTCCCTCCTCAAAGAGCAAAAAGGGGCTAGAAAGGAAGTGGCATACAGCCGTCACAGTTACAGTAAGTCCAGATGTGCTTGCCAAGGATAGCGAGCTGGGAGCACTCTCGCGGGGCCAGCTGGGTCTCCTGCAGGGCTTGGAGAATATTTCGCTAGGCAGATGCTTGGGCTGAATCTTGGAGAAGCTAGTTCCCTGGAGAGGGAAAGGTGGCAGGCCTAGCTTTGCTGGGAAGTGTCTCTTAATTTCCTGGAAACCCTAGTAGAATTTTGAACAAAACCACCAGTGTTTGAGCCTTCTGCCAAGCAGCCCGGTTAGTGGAGGAGATGCAGTGGCAAAAGCACTGGGATTGGATTGCCGAGCAGGGAGGAGAGATCATCGGGTTGTGTGGCAGCACCCACACCTGGCCTGGCTTAAGGTTGTCACACCACTAGGGGATCTTCTGCAGAATGGTACTCGTGTAATGGTTTATAACAACACACGCTTAATTGACTGTGCAGGATGTCACTCAAATCAGTTTGGGTTTGCTTTATTTTATTTTATATATATATTTTTTGGTATCCTGTACATTGCAGTGGGTGTGAAGATAGTATTTTAATATTTGTACAAAGTTTAATTTAATTTTAATTGTTCTATGTATATAACTGCATTTCTAAATAATAATAATAAAAAATTCTTACGAATGTGGCAGATGTGATCCTTTCCGAACATTTTTGCAGGAACCCCGGATTGAAGAAAATTCCTTTCCTCTTGTTCAGGAGCTCTGAGTGCAGCCCCTGTGCTCAAGGTGCGATTCTGTAGTGCCAGTAGACTGTGGTGGGCCTACCTGGAAGGTCAGATGTGCTGGGAGGGTAGACAAGTGCAGAGGCTCGGTGACTGTCCATGGGGATGGGTGAGGTGCAGGGGCAGGCAGAGGTTTCTGGGATGAAAGGCTTTGAAGCTGGAACATGAAGGGCCAGTAAGCAAGGCAAGTGACAGGATGCTACCCTTCAATAGATGCAAAGGGAGCAGAAAACACATTCAGCTTAAACCAGGAGTGAGGTCTGGTAGTTAAGTGCATACTTGTAATGCCAGCACTCTGGGAGGCTGAGGCAGGAGGATCACAAGTTTGAGCCCAGTCAGGCCAATTTAGTGACTTAACAAGACCCCCTCTCAAGATAAAAAATTTGAAAAAGGGATTTAGCTCAATGTGAAGGCCCTGGGTTCAATCCCCAGTACTGAAAGTACTCAGCAGGGTTAAGGGGAAAGCAGCTCAGAATGAGCCAGGGAGGAATGCAGGGACTAGAGCAGTGGTGGGGAACCCTAAGCAAGCATACAACTAAAAGGCTCGCTGTCGCTGGATTGGAGCGAGGGGCCTCAGCAGTCAAGCAGGCAAGTTGGTGCTGTGCCCTGAAGGCAGTAAGTAGCACCATAGTGGTTTTCAGTGACAGGGCTTAGGAAGATACAGGCAGTTTGGAGGGAGAAAGCGTTCTTTCTGTCTGCTTATGAAGAATGGGCTTATAGGTATAAGGCATATTATACAGGATCAGAGACCAGTGAGTCACTGGCCCTGTCTGAGTGGTTTCTGCTAGGGTGGTGGCAGAGATGAAGAGAAGTTGGTGGATTCAGGGGATATTTATTAACGGCATCAATGGGTGGGTGGAAAAAGGTATCTGGGGTCTGCACAAGCATCACTGCTATCAGTGGTAAGGGTGAATGGGAGAGACCTAACATTCACTGAGCTCTTTACCAACTTCTAAATCAGCTATAACAATAGCTGATCTTACTAAGTACTTACTGCGGACCGGGCACAGCTCTAAGCCCTTCGTGCATAAACTTGTTGCATCCATGCAGCAGCTCCACAGGTGCCCTTGTTGCCTGTGGCCATGCACCAAATACAATGAAACAGGTACAGAGAGGCGAAACAGCTTTCTTGTGGTTGAGCCAGGATCCCATTCAAACCTAGGTGGTTCCACTGGGACGACACTGCTTGCCTCTCTGGCCTTCCTCACACGGGCCTTCCAGATGGCACAACCCCCATTCTTGCCTTTGAGTCTGCTAACCAGCAAGCTTCAAGTAGAGAACTCTAATTTTAGGGCAAGGAAATGGTATGCCTTCCACCAGGATGATAATCTCTTTTAAAAATGGGGCATAGCCCAGTGTCTACAGTACCAGCACTCTAGGAGGCTGAGGGAGCCCAACGTGGGCAATTTAGCAACTTTGGGAGACCCTGTCTCAAAAAATTAAAGGGCTGGGGATGTATCTCAGTGCACAAGCCCTGGGTTCAAACCACAGTACCAGGGGAAGGAAAAACAACGAAACAAAAAACCAAGATCTCAAAGCAGTAGACCTCAACAGACTATTTTGGTGACAGATGAGCCTCCTGACACTGGAAACGTGCTGACAGAGGTAGGGAATGCTAGCCCTATACAGGTGAGAAGACAGGGAAACAGGCTGTCAGCACGGGTCATCTGTGGTGCTTTTGACTTCCATCTTGACAGCTGAGGTCGGGCAAAGGTAACAAAGCCCTCAAAACCTACAGTGCCAGTGGGATGGGGGCCTGCCTGAAGTTGTGGCTCAGGTGTAAACCATGTGGGTAGAGAGGACTCCTGCCCTGCTGCCAAACCCCACCTGCGAGCCTGGAAAGTGCAGACCTGCAGAGGACAACAGACGTCGTAACTCTCGAAGATGGGTCTTTCCTAGGCTACATAAGATACCCTTAAATACTCAGAAGTGATACATGCTCATCCTAGATAATCTAGAAGGAAAATTAAAATCACCATAGCGCACCTCCTGTCGGTAATGTATGGACAGTTTTCTATGCCCGTGTTTCCTTCTTATAAAAGATCACTTTCTAATAATATTTTGTGTACATTTTACAACCTTTGCAGTGTATTACAATCTTATAAAGTAATCAACTACATCATTTTTAAAATTTTATATTGGTACATTTTAGGTGTACAATATAATGACATTCATCATTGGAAATTTGCACCTTTACATAATCTCTCTTGGTTCTTATTTTTCCCC